AGAACAACTCCATAGTTTCATTCAAATAGCTTAAATTTGTTCCAAAACAAATCTCGCACATCTGTGCATATGATTCCCAACTCGTTCTAACATCCCCGGAACGAAGTGACTTCTGCTGGCCAAGTCTCAGAAATGTTTTGTGTTAAAAAAGTTGCAAGTCATTGTTTATTAGTGTTCAAAAATAGTAACTGCTCATACATACATGCTCACTGGTCACAGATACTTACTGATCATAGTTACTTACTGGCCATAGATAGTTACTGGTCATAGATACTTACTGTTCAGAGTTACTTACTGCTCTTAGCTAATTACTGCTCATAGTTAATAGCTGATCTTAGTTAACTACTGATCATAGTTACTTACTGATCCAAAAACACTTCTCGTACATCTGTGCTTATGATTCCCAACTAGTTCTAACATCCCCGGAACGAAGTGACTTCTGCCGGCCAAGTCTCAGAAATGTGTTGTGTTACAAAAGTTGCAAGTCATTGTTTATTAGTGTTCAAAGTTAGTAACTGATCATACATACATGCTCACTGGTCATAGATACTTACTGATCATAGTTACTTATTGGCCAAAGATACTTAATGTTCGGAATTACTTACTATTCTGAGTTAATTACTGCATTTAGTTAATTAATGATCATAGTTACTTATTGATCATAGTTACTTAATGCTCCTTGATACTAAACAGAAATACTTATAGATACTTACTGATCACAGTATTCCGATTTTCAAAAACTAAAAACGAAATTCTATAATAATAATAGACGTTTTGCATCAAATTAGATAAACATATATTAAAAACTATTGAAGATTGATTGAGATACTTTTAAAGCTGAGGAACTAGTTTGCGTAACAGACGGACGCTGATTAAGAATATATATACTTTATATGGTCGGAGATGACTGACTGATATTATAATATCCTGCATAGGTATAAATATCAATGTTGGTCCTTGATTCTCCCTGTGTATGTATGTTGCATCCTTTTCGCAATCGCAATCGCTTGCGAACGACCGACTGAAAGACTGTTTATGGATTTCGTGTTTGACAGGAAGGCAGCAGGCCATAAAGATTGCCTACTAATGTCACCCGCCCAATGGGAGAGGCAATATTGCCCCAAAGGAAGGTGTTTTGCCCCAGTTCTCCTCATCCAAGGTTTCCAATATTCACAAAAAAAAAAGAAGAAAACCCACCGGTAACTGCAATAAGTCAGCTTTCATTGGCTCAGAAGTTTTCCCTGCACTGACTTTGAGTGAAAAGCAAACATGGCTTGGTGAAGATCAAGAAAATTTAGTTCTTTGGCTTCTATATTTTCCAAAGGTGAGAGGTCAGCTGAAATTTACATATGTACTAAAGAAAGTATATGTACTCAAAGAGGAAATATAATCTATATACTAAAAATCTGCATAATAACTGTTGAAGTGTTAATGTATAGAAGATGATAGTGTGAGGTCATGCAGACACAAATGAAACTAGATAAATACTAAAGTCATTTTCCCCTCCTGTCATGCTGCAATGAACATCATTTCCACATTAAGCCATTAAGGACCTCGGTATTATTTTCGGCTTATTCTTGAGAAGAAATTTTCGTAAAACCAAATTTGAAGACCGGGCTCATAGATGACCTTCTTTGTGTGTATGCCAAGCAGCAGCTGTCTTTTAATGCGATTAACTGGGCCATCTCCAACGCAGCAGAGCCAACTGGCAAGTTAATTGAAAACGACACTTTCACTGCCAGCGGGGCTTAGAATCCCCCTTTCCCCCCGAACTTAACTTTACCCCCTTCACTTCGACAAATACTATGACTTGCATCCATTTTTAATGCGCTTAAGAAGTATGCAGGAAAGAATTTTAACGCTCAGAGCTTAATAACTATGACAACTTATGCAAATAACCCGAAGCTACCCTACCGCTTAACCCCTTGCAGCCGGCAGCTCTTTCAACTTTCTGCACTCGAGAAGCGGCCAAAGTTTACCCAGCTCAGCTCGACGAGCTCAACCGCAAAAGGCAGCTAATGCTCTTCCAGGGAAAGGGAATGGGAATGGGAGTGGGACTGGGACTAAAGTGTAGGTGTACTATGTGGGTGCCATGTGCCATGGGTTTTCCATCCGCATTATCTCTGGCCCCTGGCCAGCTCAGTGGAGGCGAGTGTGAGAGTGAGAGTGAAAGTGGTAGTGAGATTGAAAGTGTGGTAGGGACTTAATTTGGTTATTCCGAACTTGATTTGGGGTAACATTTTTCCAGCTTAAAACGAAACTCTAGCATTTTGCTCTGGCTTAAATCTCAGGTAACCAAGAATTTAATAAAGTCCAATTGTATATGTATTTCCCAGAGGGAAAGAACGAATCAGTAGCACAATGAAAATGGTATGATAACAATGTTGATCCAAAGTCCCTCGATAATCAAAAGTCAGCAGAAATAAAGAGCAAACAATAATATGGGGAAATCCAGCAAGCAAACATCATTAAGCGGTGGGAAAACCGCTTTCCCATTCTATCAATCTTTTAGCTCTTTCACTCTTTTTTTTTGTTTTGTTTTCCGCCTGCACTTAAATCGCTATCCATTTCCATTACGATTTCCTATCGTGCATTTCATTTTCACATGTCGAGTGCCGCATTGCGTGCAATTTTGGTTACAATATTTCTCCATTCAGGCCTGGCCAGGTATGGCCCATTAAAAGAATGGCCTTCGGTTTTTGTTTATGGAAGCCTAGGGAACCCAAAATCTCTGGAAATCGAAAAAAAAATGTTTGCAATCCGTAAACCTGGCTTATTTATGGCCCTCTCAGTTATTGATTTTATAATTGTTCTTATATTTAATTCAATACGTTTAAAGCTGCAGGAATATCTCAATAAATTTTAAAGTCTAGGGTAAACAAATAAATTATGGTAAATGAACCTTGATAAATTTATTGCTTTCTATATATTATTTATAGACCTAAAATAAGGACATCTCTTAAGTTGAAGTTTTAAACTAAAGCACTTTAAAATATCATATTGCATATATGTATATATGTCACCCACATTTGTTGCCAAAAGTGCTCTTAACAAAGCCAACTAATTTCTTCCGGCTCCGTCTAGGACTGTAAAATATTTTCGGCCTCTGGCAGGCTTCAGGCTAATAGCTGGGCATTAAAAATTTATAGAAATTAATGGCAGGCGATGCTCATGTGGGTTTCCTTCACATTCCTCCATTAACCAAAAGACGTCAGAAGTAAACTCATCGAGCTATGCGAGGCCTCTGCCCAAAATTGATGACTGTCATTATTTTTAATTCCTTTAGCGTTAACAGCAACTCATCAAGTTGAGTGTTTAAATTTCATTTACGCTCGTATTTTTGCATATTTACTTGAGCTTCAACATATTCACAATCAAGTTGAGTGTTCTGAGCGGTCTTTTACTTATGTAAGTGTCCTGAGGACTCTATGCCTTGACCTCAAATTCAATTCAATTAAGACAAATGAAGTATACGCCGCGTGTGCCCGCAAGAGATTCCCATTATGATTATGATGACTTTTACGAAAATATTTTCATGAAATAAAGTTACGCAAAAGTTCTCCTGGCCTCCGGAGGTCCCTATTGTTGTTTGATAGTTTAGTTTACGCAGTTTTCACGTTATTTGCCGTGGCAAGTAAGAAATCCTGCTGCTAAAAGAAGAGCAAATACATACAGTGGGAGGTAGGGAAGAGTGGAGTGGAGTCCTTATAAATAAACATGCTGGCAAAGGATGCGTGTGTGTTGAGGGAACACGTGTTCCCTCGCAATTTGTCCCCATTTGTATGTGAGCCGTGTTATTAATTAAGAATCGCGCTTCACCAATGTGCACTAATGGCCAAAAGGGAAGCTCTGCGGGTTGAGCATATTTATGCGATTTTAATTGAGCGATTTTCCCCCCGCTTTTCCCCATGTCTTGTTTACTGTCTGTAAGGGTAAGCAATGTTGAGGGGGAAAATCGATTAGTTTTTGGTATTTGTCTTGTGCTCTTTAAGGGTTAGTAATTCGGAAGGGTTTTTTTTCAGAATATGTTATGTGCCCTTCATTAATGAATCTTAATTAAGTGCTGGGTTTATTTGATGGAAAATGTATCCTATGAAGGCTAAATATACTCAAAACTTGTCTGAAGAGAATAAACTATAACATTTTCCAATATAAATATTATAAAAGTCAAGTAACATATGAATCTAATTTACCATTAATAAATATTCTTAGTTTATTATTACTTAAATAAAAGTACCAAAAAGTTATTTTAGGTCATTATAAATTTAAGGAACAATCTTCCCCGCCGGAATTTATTCATCTCAAATGATACAAAAAAATATGTAACAATGTCCTCGCAAAATTAATTTGATAAGCCAGCCCCAAGCATTTCGGCACGCAACTCTTGATTAATACATTGCCATTTTTCTATTATCTGGCAGAAGAGTCCCGTTTTATGAGCCTTTAATTAATTATACGACTAAGCGGCATTGTATGTGTGTGTTTGTGTGTGTGTGTGTGTGTGTGACATGATGGACTAACTAGGACGAAATGGGGCACCGAACCAGACATAAGCTTCAGGCCCTCGTAAAAATCGGTATCAACTTGTGCGGGCTGCGTGAGTTTAGTTTTGTGTTTTTGTCGTGTTTTAATTTGGTGCTTTGCTTCTGTTTTGCCTTGGCTACATTAAATATGCATTAAGCCTTGATTTCCGAAGGGGGTGAGGACAGGTCCTTGTGCCTCCTTCATATGCATAGGGAGTGTATTTGGGGGTAGACATAAATTAGTAAGAGAAACGCTTATGAGGTTCACACAGAGAAGGCAATAACTGAATCATCAGTTTACTAATTGCATCTTGGCCGGCCAAGTAATTATTGGCCAGCCTTCATAACTCCTCGGGCCTAATGAGCCGCACGTGCTGCTTTATGTGCTGCATTTTGCATTCCATCATTTCGCAATTAATTTTCTTAATGTTTGCCCCTTTTCCCTCTGATTACTTTTTCTTCTTCTCTTCCGCACAGTTGGTCTCCAGTAATCCGAATCAGCGGAACTGGCGTGGGATCCTCATCGCCCTCCTGGTCATCATCATCGTCCTGGCCCTGATTGTTACATCGGTGGTGAGTTACCATCTAAAAAAATACTAATACAGCATGAAACACTTTTGATCCTTGTCCATTGCGGTGTAACCAGGATACACGAATTGCCGAAATCGGTGTCACAAATGAATTTATTTTGCAATTAAATAGGAATCCAATGCAGGTTGTTCCTTAATACTGAAATGTATTCCACAAATGCACAATCCAATTACAATTATACAGCAAACCAGAAAACCCAAAAACAATAATCCAAATACTGTCAAAACAAAGGCACATTTCCCCCAACCGTACACAAACATTGAAAATCCTATGTAAATTCAAGTTGAAAATAACACAATTACAGAAAAGTCAAGGGATTTGAATACCCTTTTTGAAAATACTTTCGGATAAAGGAGTGTTATTTTAATTAAAGATTTAAATGAAGTCTTTACTTAATCTGTGCTCTTTCTTTTCTCAACAAAATATACAAATTTGATATAAAATGAATATTTTAAATATTTTTAAACCATTTGTAAGGGTATTTTCCGACATATCTAGTAACAGTACGCACCGCAATGCGAATTTCATTGGTCCGCAATGCTGACATGTTTTGAAATACGTAAAATGTTATTCTATTCGAAATCACCACAGAAATAAAAACAAAATCCACACACGCGTAATTGGTTGGTAAAAGTTTTCTTTTTTAATTGGCCGAATTGTGCAGATATTTTCTCAACAATTTGTGCCATAGCAAAAAGGGAACTCTAACTTCCATTAATATTTATGTGTATATATATACTTACTAAACGTAACCTAACCTACCTATATATAATAAAACAAAAGAAAAACAAAGAAAATGTGATAAATTTTTGTGTAAATACGTTACGCTCATTTTTGTGTCTTTTGTCTGTTTGTTTACTTCTTTTGCGAATTTTTGTGGCTGCCTGATAAATTTAATCCCACACCACCGAACATTTTCCTTTCCATTCGTTGTTGCTGTTGTTGGTGTATTGTGTGTGTTGTTCACGTGTGCCTGTCTTTGTGAGTGTGCAGAAGACAACATATAAAATTTCTAAATTTATCAAAAAAGGTGCTGCTCACGCCGCCCGATGAGGGACCGCGGGTCAAGGGTCAGCGCATCAAGCTGCAGGACATTGTCGATGGCCTCTTCACGCCGCAGCATGCCAACGGCAGTTGGATCGATGGTGAGTCCTTCGTCCTTCGTCCTTCCATTCCTCTATGCTTCTATAGTTTGCCATTCTGTCGGGCAAATCGCTTTTAATTTCCGCTCTGGTTTTTTTTACCCGCTCACAATTCTCATCTCATCTCATCTTTTTCGCAGGCGAGGAGTTCCTGTACCAGGACCATTTGGGTCGCATCTGTCTACTGAATGCAGCCAATCGCTCGGAACGTGTCCTCATGTCCAATGTGACATTTGTAAGTACATTTCGGTCCCACTCTCTCCCTCTTTTCCCTTTTGGCCAGATACCGCTGCCGCTGTTTGTTTGCTTATTGCTTATCTCTTTGAGCAGAATAAATATTTGCCCCATCTTATTTACGAGCTGGGAGAGTTGTCCGGGAGTCCTAGATATAGTCGGAGGGGATAGGTGCACTGGGAAAAAAGTAATTCAGAAAAGAGCACTAGATTTCATTAATTATTCTAAGTTGCTTATCGTTAAAGAAAAGGGTTTTCCCTATAAGCAAATTCCTATAAACAAAAATAAGCCCAATGAAAATTCGAACTTTGAAATGGAATACATACAGATTAGGGTTGTTAGACAATGTTATCAATATTTTATTCCATCATTTTCAGTATTTAAAATTCCTATATATCAAATTAGAGGTCGCTTTCAAAACAAAAGTTATTTAGAAAAAGCTATTCGTCTTAGGAGTTTTGTTCGTTAATAAATTTAAGTCGCTTATCGTTAAAAATAAAAAGTGAGAAAAAACTGTATGATATATTATAAAATATTATTATTCCTATAGGCAAAGAGAGGCTAACTGAAAATTCAAACTTTGAATTGGAATATACACAGATTAGAGATGTTAGAAAATGTTAACAATATTAAAAGTTTTAAGTTTTGACATAAATTATTTCAAATTTCGGGAAAACAAACTAAAGGATGCTTTCGATATAAACGTGAGTATCTTATGGGACTTATACTCTTTAATATCCATTTATAATATATAGCTAAAAGATTAATAAATACTATATTTATAAATACTATAGTACTTTAGTAAAAAAAAGTTTAGGAGAATAATTATTATAGTTAGATTTCAGTTCTTAAGCACACTGTTAAATAACGTTAGTTTAAATTCAATGCAATTTGGTTTTATAGTAATAGTGTTTCTTTAAGAATTTGATTTTTAGACTTCCCGGACAGTTTAATGTTAATGGCTTTCATAGGTTTACATTTTTTCCCCGAGTGTTGTGCGAATGTTGGAGGTGGGTGTGCCGCAAGGCAGATATCTCAAGTGTACACACTCGACTTGGCAATGTTAACTGATATTATGGTGCGCACAAAAGTAGGCGAAACAAATGGGCCAAGTTATCGTTAACTGAGTGCGGGGCGAGAAGGACCTTTTGCCCCAATCCAGCGATAGCGATAAAAGGCAAAAAAAAAAGATTTTTATGTCAATGACAGGAGCGGGGGTAAACACACAAACACACATGTGAAAAGGCCGGTGGTGGGGGCACTCTCTAATGAATAATGCGCGGACTGAAATTGAAAAACAAACAAATAAAGAAATGCGAAAGAAAAGGCAGCTCTGGCTGAATGAACTACCCGCCGAGAAGCTTTCCTTTAGCCAAGTTTTCCAACTTGGCTGGCAAAATTTCGAGTGCCTCGGGGAGGCACCAAACTATGCAGAGCAGCAACAAGTGCACTGGCAGTGCAAGTCAACAGTTGCCAGCTGAGTGGGAAATAATTAATGTGCAAAATCCGAATCCAAGGCAGCACGAGTGAGCAGTCAAAAGTACGCAATGGCAATGCATATTCATGCCCAGTTAAGGATCTGGTGTAAAGTTATTTCTAACACAAACTCAAACAAGAAATGAGCAATGAATAGCTAAATGCTAAGTTGAGCTCGACTCGATTGAGTTGCTTCCAGGGTAGCATCATTTTGCACTTTTCCCCCAAACATTCCTCGAAATTAAGGCGGCAAACTCTTTACCCATAAACAATGCCGCAAATTTCGAAAATTTTCCCGCCACCCACCGCTAGCCACCAGCAAAAACTTCCGCAATTTCGCGTGCAAATCAGGAAAGACCATTAAAATTTTAATTAAAATTGCGTATACGCAACGTGTTCGCATTGTAACAGCCTCGCTGCTGGTAGGAACCTCTCTCAGTTTTCCACGCACAATTTGCAAGCAGCATTTAATACCATTTAAACCCGCAGAAAACCCTGGCCCCCTTCACCTTCACCATATCGGCGGACAAGCGGTATCTGCTTCTGGCCCAGAATGTTGTGAAACTGTTCCGTCACTCCTACCTGGCCCAATACACGCTCTACGACATTCAGACCAGGTAAGTTCGGAAACGAATCGAAGCTCAGTTTTCCGGTAATCAAGGTCCCCCATTTCCCCTAATCTTGCCTCTGCAGTGAGAGCATCAAGTTGCGGCACAGTCCGCACCAGGATGAGTGGCCGTATCTGCACTTTGCGCGTTTCACACCCGCCGGAAATGCATTGGTCTGGGTGCAGGGATACGACATATATTACCGGACAGAGGTGCGGAGTCCAATGGTGCATCGGATTACTCACGATGCGGTGCCCGGAGTGGTGTACAATGGCATACCGGATTGGTTGTATGAAGGTGAGGTGGAAATCGATCTTCAGTTTCATTCTAAAGTGTTCCTTTAAATGGGGTTTTCTTAATCATATTTATACTAAAATAATTGTTTATAATTTATGTACCTTTCTCTTACAAATAAGTTCAAGAAAATTTGAAATTTATTTTTATACCCTTGCAGGGTATTATAATTTCAGTCAGAAGTTTGCAACGCAGTGAAGGAGGCACCTCCGACTATATAAAGTATATATATTCTTGATCAGGATCAACAGCCGAGTCGATCTAGCCATGTCCGTCTGTCCGTCTGTCCGTCTGTCCGTCTGTCCGTCTGTCCGTCTGTCCGTTTCTACGCAAACTAGTCTCTCAGTTTTGAAGCTATCTAAATGAAACTTTGCAGTTAGTCTTCTATATACTCTCACTCGTATATATGTCGGAACGGGCCGGATCGGACGACTATATCATATAGCTGTCATAGGAATGATCGGAAAAGTTTTACAAAAAAAATTATAAAATTTTTAGTTTTCAACTGAATTTGATCAAATTTAAGATATAGCCATTTCATACTATTCTATAATTTTGTGTAAAATTTTATGAAAATCGGACGGCTATATCATATAGCTCCCATAGGAACGATCGAGAAATTAATTCAATTAATAAGTATAACATTTTCAGTTTTCAACAGATTTTCATCAAATTTGAGATAAAGCCGTTTTATATTATTCTACAATTTTGTGTAAAATTTTATGAAAATCGGACTAATATATCATATAGCTCCCATAGGAACGATCGAGAAATTTGAGAGGAATGAGAATGGCGGTGGCTGTTGTCGGAAGACTGACAATCGCGGTGGCGATAACATTTTTAGTTTTCAACAGAATTTAATCAAATTTGAAATATAGCCATTTCATATTATTCTAAAATTTTGTGTAAAATTTTATGAAAATCGGACTACTATATCATATAGCTCCCATAGGAACGATCGAGAAATTAATACAATTAAATTTATAACTTTTTTAGTTTTCAGCTGATTTTCATAAAATTTGAGGTATAGCCATTTTATATAAGTCTTAAATTTTGTGGTAAATTTCATAAAAATCGGACGACTATATCATATAGGTGCCATACAAACGATCGTTTGATGTAGAGGAAAAATGCAAATCTGTGAATGTAAAACTGCAAATATAATATGTATAGGTGAATGAAATGAAAGCAGGTATTACTTCATTGTTTTTTAACACAAATATATATAATTTATATTGTATGGATTCCTATTCATAGAAGTTCTATCTGCAAGGGTATATAAACTTCGGCGTGCCGAAGTTAGCTTCCTTTCTTGTTCTAAATCAAGTTAAAGTACACCTAGTCGTATACGTGATTTTGAACAACTTTTAAATTCTCGATTCTAAGATACATTCAAAGAGTTTATTTGCTTTAAAATGCTTTTTCATTATGATTTTTATATTAAAACAATAACATTTAATATCTGTTTTTTTTTTTCATTTTTTCATTTTTTCATTTTCAAATGTTTTTCAGAAAATATGAAATTTTTTCTCTTAAACAAGTTCAAGTCCCCTAGTCGTATACGTGATTTCTGTACTACTTTTTGATGCTTGATTATAAGATACATTCAAAGCTGTTTATTTCCTTTGTGTGGTTTGTTCTTAATTAATTTTATATTAATTGCTGCTTTATATTTAATTGTTGCTTATTTCATGTACAATTATTTTATATATACAAAAAATAAAATTAATTATTCTAGTTCATGTTTAAGTACTCCTCGTCGTATACGTAATTTTTCTTTTAAACATATGTTTATATGTTCTTCGCTTACAATTATTTTATAATTTAGAAAATTTTTAATTAATTAATGATTTAATTAATTAATTAATATTCTAACTCTTCATTCTAAGTTCAAGTTCACCTAGTCGTATAAGTGATTTTTGAACTACCTTTTGATGCACGATTAAAATATGCATTTAAAGGTGTTTATTTCCTTTAAACGATTTTTTCATAATCATTTTTTATACCACAAAATTGTATTTAATTGTTGCTTTTTCACTTACAATAATTTTTTAGCTAAGAAACTAGTTTTAAATTTATTTTTTTAAATCAAATTCAAGTACACCTAGTCGTATACGTGATCTACTTTAATTTTTAGTTTCTTTTGAGGATTGATATTGATGTTCTGTCATCAAAAATTATTTTATAATTAAGAAAATTTTTAAAATTATTATTTCTAACTCTAAATTCACGCTAAGTTCAAGTACACCAAGTCGTATACGTGATTTTTGATCAACTTTAATTTGTAGGTTCTTTTGAATATTTATATTAATATAGGCTGCAATTTCATTATGAATTGAAAACTATTGTACACTAATATTTTAAAAACTCTTGAACTCTGTAACTATGTTTTCAGATAGCTCTTAAAATAATGGTCAATTTAAGTTTCAATAACACTATTCAACAAACGGTCTTGAATAATTTTATATTATTACTGTGAGATACAATCTCTTTTCTTTCCCGAAAAATACTTCACTCCATTGTGTAGTCATTTGTAAAGTGAAAACTAACTACATTTAATTTAATCCTTACATCACCCAACTAACGATATTATACTCAACTACCACTTATTTGCCATTTTCCGTTCTGTTTCGCATTTTCACAGAGGAAATTCTCCATGCAAATAATGCGATTTGGATGTCGGACAACGGACAACTGATGTTGTATGCCACCTTCAACGATACGCACGTCCAGGAGCAGCACTTTGCCTGGTATGGCACGACTGGTTCATCCGGCGGAGCGGCTGCAGCTGCAGCGGCAGCGGCGGCAACAGGAGGTGGAACTGGCGGTGGAACGGGAGGAAGTGGCGCCTCAGCGGGCAGCAGTAATCCGCATGCCAACCTATACCCGGAAATCAGGTCCTTACGGTAAGTCGTGACCCCATTACGAGGGAGACTTGGGCTATATCGCTTTTCGATTATGTGTTAATGATGCCTCATCTCTCGCTCTCTCTCGTGGCCGTCGTTAGTTCTAATGGGTTCCTAGCGTCACGCTTAAAATTCATGAAGTGACAGTAGGGGTAACCTTTTTGTTGTAAATGAATTCAGGCAGTGGATTCAAACCTATTCCGTAGCCGTAATCCCTTCCATCCGACTTGGCTGACACACGGGGCAAGGGCTTGGAAATTAGTTACCGGGCAGCATAAGACAAAAGGCCTTAGCAGCCTTAGATGTATTAACTAAGTGTGGGATCCATACAGGTTGATCCCCTGTCAATTGGGTTTGATAAATTGCTAAAGGAGGCGTCCGAAAAGAGAAGGCGGTCCAACTTGGCAGCTTTGGGTTTTAGGTCCAAAGTCGACAAATAATGAATGAAGCTAAGGTGAATTAAGGTTTAATCTAGCTCTTTTTGTTTGTTTTTCTTTTGCAGGTATCCAAAGCCGGGCACTCAGAATCCCACAGTGACCTTGCGGGTTGCGGATCTAAAGGATCCGCAAAAGGTTCGCATCACCGACCTGCGACCACCTCAGATACTAGCTCACGAGTAAGTCATTATAATAATTAATAATATTATATGGAAAACAAGTTTCTAAGTTAATTAAAACTTCTCCTAACCTTTGTTGTTCCTTCTTCACACAGAGATCACTACTTTAGCAGCGCCAGTTGGGTAAGTCACTCAAAGATCGCCGTCGTTTGGCTGAATCGTCCCCAGAACATCTCCGTGGTCAGTGTGTGCAAGGCTCCCGCCTTCGAGTGCATCGAGGTGAGTCCAATTAGTCAACGGAGCCAGCAATCTGCTAATGAATCCCATCCGTTGGTTTTGCAGACCCACCGGGTGAGCGGCGATGGACGCGGCTGGGTGGACACTGTTGCTGTGCCTCTGTTTGCAGCCAATGCCAGCCTCTATGTGGCCATCTCCCCGCTGCGAGACGGTCTGTTTGGTAAGTCATTGAATCGTCAAATTGGCCTTTGTTCCACAGAGTGACACAGAATCCTTCTCGCTCTCTCGCTCTTCCTCTCCAACCAATACCTCTTAATCGCAGGCTATTTCCGGCACATCGTGCACGTGGACATCGACAATAACAGGGTGCTGCCCCTCACCCATGGCCCGTACGAGGTGAATCGATTGTTGCACTGGGATCAACTGGATAATTGGATGTAAGTGATTGGGGCACACACGCAACGGGTTTCACTTCCGTTTCGAGCAGTGGAAAATGTTTATCCGAAATGAAGCTACCCATAAGCTGTTGCACAGTTATTGAAATTGTGAATTATGTATATTTCCAAGCTCGAAAAGGAAGTTTTACGTATAAGTCTGATACATTGATTCATGTAAAAGGAACAAGAAAAAAACTAACTTTGCAGATTAAAATCCAATTACTAGGAACTAATAAATACAAATTATATAAATTTATGTTAAAAAAACAACAAAGTAGTTCCTGCTTTGTATGGCTGCTATATGATATAGTAGTCCGATTTTCATTAAATTTTAAACAAAATTGCAGAATAATATAAAAGGATATATCTTAAATTGATAAAAATCTGTTGAAATCTAGAAAAGTTATAATTTTATTTGGTAAAGTTTTCCGATCGTTCCTATGTTAGCTATATATATTTAAATATATAGTCCACCGATTCACCATGCTCCGACTTATATATTAGTAAAATATATAGAAGAATAACTCTATAGTTTCATTCAAATAGCTTAAATTTGTTCCAAAACAAATCACGCACATCTGTGCTTATGATTCCCAACTGGTTCTAACATCCTCGGAACGAAGTGACTTCTGCCGGCCGAGTATCAGAAATGTGTTGTTACAAAAGTTGCAAGTCATTGTTTATCAGTGTTCAAAGTTAGAAACTGATCTACACACTGTTCATAGATACTTATTGATTATAGTTACTTAATGGCCATAGATACTCACTGATCATAATTACTTAATCCTCATTGATACTTACTGTTCAGAGTTACTTACTGCTCTTAGCTAATTACGTATCATACTTAATTGCTGATCATAGTTAATTACTGATTATAGTTACTTACTGATCAAAAAACACCTCTCACACATCTGTGCTTATGATTCTCAACTTGTTCTAACATCCTCGGAACGAAGTGGCTGCTGCCGGCCAAGTATCAGAAATGTGTTGTGTTACAAAAGTTGCAAGTCATTGTTTATTAGTGTTCAAAGTTAGTAGCTGATCATACATACTTATTGACTGTAGTTACTTACTGGTTACTGTTCAGAGTTACTAACTGCTCTTAGTTGATTGGTGATTAATGTTATTTAATGATCATAGTTACTTAAGGATCTAAGTTCTTAATGTTCATTGATACTTATTACTTATTAATTTTAGAGAGCAACATAAACCTTAATGGCTTTTCTTCTCTCTGTTAAAGTAAATCATGCTATATATAATCCTGTTAACATGTTAATCAATAGAACTACACCTTAATTTATTGAACTTTTGATAATTCCAGCTACTTCCTTGGCACTCCAGAGCGCCTGCCCTCGCAGCAGCATCTATATCGCGTATCCGCCCTGCCGGCCCGTCAAGGACAAGCATTGCAGCCACCAGACTGCCTGACGTGTCCCGCACTGACGCAGCAAGCCGAGGGCTATGAGGAAGGTCATACCAAGTCACCACCGAAGCTGGTGACTGCCTGGGACGATGACTGGGAGGACTCCGAGGAGACAGAAGCTCAGCCACCGCCGCAACCTGCGTTGCCAGTGGAGCAGCAGCGACCGGGAAGGGGTCAAAGTGCTCCTTTGCCACCGCCTCCAAGCGATTGCCTGTACCATGAGGCCCAGTTTCCGCCCTCGAAGAGCTAAATATGTCCTGGTCGATTGCCTGGGTCCTGTGGTACCCACCTCCATTATCTACGGCCTGAAATTCTCCACTATTGCCAAGGTGAAGAGGCAGAGCACACAGCAAGAAGAACCTCCCACGGATGGCGGCGAGCAGAAGATGTCGGAGGAATCCAAGTCACAGTTCCTGGAACTCCTGGTCACCGTGCAGAATAACACTCGGTTAAAGGAGAAAATGGCCAAGACAGCCATGCCGCAGGTGAAGACCTTCCCCGTGATGATCTCCGGAGGATATCATGCCCAGGTGCGGCTCTACCTTCCGCCTGTTCTGCGCGAGGATGAGATCACGCGATATCCCACCATTTTGCACGTTTACTCGGGACCCGGCTCTCAGCTGGTCACCGATCGTTGGCATGTCGATTGGAACACCTATCTGGCGGGCAGCAAGGACTATATTGTGGTGGAAATCGATGGACGAGGATCCGCGGGACAGGGTTACCAGCTACTCCATGAGGTCTACAAGCGCTTGGGCAGCGTTGAGGTGTCCGATCAATTGGAGGTCAGTGAGTACCTCAGGGATAACCTGCACTTTATCGACTCTCGAAGGATGGGAGTCTGGGGATGGAGTTATGGCGGATACACAGCTGCATTGGCCCTGGCTGGCCAACAGTCGATATTCCAGTGCGGAATAAGTGTGTCACCGGTGACCAATTGGAAGCTATATGGTGAGTTAGTGTTAATGGTTTTCTCTACTAAAACATTTTAGATTGTTTTTCGTTCCTTTATTTATTTAATTTTTATTTAATTGCAGATTCCACCTATGCCGAACGCTATCTGAGCTTCCCCAATGTGACGGATAACTACAAGGGTTACGAGGAGAGCGATCTGTCCAAGTATGTGGATAATCTAAGGGATCGCCAGTTCCTGCTCGTCCATGGCACTGCCGATGACAACGTACATGTGCAGCAATCTATGGTACTGGCCAGATCACTGACCAGCAAGGGAGTCCTCTATAAGCAACAGATATATCCGGATGAGGGTCATAGTTTATCGGGGGTCAAGCGACATTTGTACCGCTCGATGACTGCCTTTTTCGAGGATTGCTTCAAGAAACTGGTAAGTGAAGTGACTCTGAATCTTGGGCCAATATTTTGTATTATATTCCACTCTCCTACCACATTATATATATAAATATC